TAATGCCTGAACCCCCCTTCCACGCGTGCTGACTCGAAGATGGTGCACATCCTGCGTGGCAACTGATGCCTGAAACCCCTTTCACGCGTGCCCGCTCGAGGAGATGCACGTCCCGCGCGGCAACTAATGCCTGAACCCTTATTCCATGCGCGCCCGCTCAAAATTGCGTACTTCCCACATGGCTGCTACCGTCAAAACCCCACATCCCGCGAGCACACGCTCGAGGATCGGGCACCTCCCGCATTTCCAGGCGCTGCTCCCAGGCGCTCCAGGGCCTCCAAATCACTCTCTTGGTTTAGACCAAAAATATGCGTCCCGCGCTTCCAAGACGGCCCGTGCCGGCAACCAAGGACACCAAGATGGCCCAAGACGCCCCGAAGATGGCCCAAGATGGACACAAGGCGGTCGAATTTTGCTCCAAGACGGCCCAAGATGCCTCCAAGAGGGCCAAAAAGGGCCACAAGAGGACCTCCAACAAGGTCCGAAGACGCCAACATTGTTGACAAGAGGGCCTCCGACAATGATTTTCGCATTCTCGCCTTTTCGGGCTGCCGTTAGCTCAAGACGGTCCAAGAGGACTCCACGATGGCTCAAGAGACATCCAATATCGCCCCAAGACGGCCCCTCGACGGCCCCACGACTCCTACAATACAGCCAGGAAGGCCCCAAGACGGCCCGAGAGAGCCCCGCGTCGGCGTAAGATGGCCCGAAGATGGCCCCAAGGGACCCTCAAGACTGCCTCACCTGAGGCTAAGACAGCCCCCTGACGGCCCAAGCGGATTTCGTAATCATCCTCGTCCTCCTCCTCCTCATCATCATCACCACCACCATCATGACAATCACCATCACCATCACCATCATTATCACCATGATTATCACCATCATTATCACCACCATCATCATCATCATCATCATCATCATCATCATCATCATCACCATCATCATCATCATCATCATCATCATCATCATCATCATCATCATCATCATCATCATCATCATCATCATCATCATCATCATCATCATCATCATCATCATCATCATCATCATCAATCATCACCGTCACCATCACCATCACCATCACTATCACCATCATCATCACCAGTCAATCAAGATAATCATCAAGCACGAGGTGTTACACGTGACGACCTCCCGTACCCCTTTCAATGGTCGCCACACATAATGCTGTGCTGGCACGGTGGTGGGGCTTGCTGAAGGCAGCTGGATAAAACTTTCTTGGGGCCCACTTGGGCGCTCAAGTGGGCCCGTTTGGGCCCGCTGAAAAGCCTCACAGGGCCCTTGTGGGCTGTCTTGGGGGGCCCTTGGAGGCGTCATGGACCGTCGTGGACGCCCTCCCTCAAGACGGAGTCGGCGGTAAAGCTAACGCATCTACTATTTTTCAACGTCACGATCGCATCGCACACTTTGCTTGTCGGGAGCCTCTGGGGCGTCCTCTTGGGGACCTCTCGGGGCTTCGATACTAATGTGCATATGCTGGACCATCTTGGTCCGATCCTGGCCCTCTTGGAAACATCTCCGGGATCACATATCACCACAAGACAATCCTGGGCGCGCCCCTCGAAGCAACGGAAGGCTCGCAGCGAGCCGGGGAACCCTCCCAAAAGGCCTTGACACTACCATGGGGGTTCGAGGTCCCTGTCCCAGAGCCCTGGTCGTCGTGACCCCGGCATACAGTCGTATATGCGGCAAGCAAGCTCCTCCGATGTTTATGCGGCAACCCATGTTTGTACGGGAAAGTACGGTACCGCTATTCATCAAGGGAGCATCCACATTAGCTCGATCTGCGGACTGCTTCAGCAGGTCTCCGAATTTCCCGAGGCGTCAAGTGTGCACTCGCCGAATATAGGGTGCATGACCTGTGTATACCAGCTTATATGCCTACTAACATTCGTCGCGAGTGCCTGGTATCCGACTACATCCATCAATCACCAGATTGGAAATCCAAGCGCGTCCGATCAGAAACGATGAGTCCTGTCAAATGTCTTGTTTTCCTCTGTGCGAGACGAAATTTGGATCCAGAACTTTTCAATACATCTGATCGCTTTGAACAAGTAAGCTTTCCACTCAGAGAATTCCAGGATCGGTATTTGTTCGTGTCTGCCGCAACGGTATTTTCTGAAGCCCTCCGTTCAATCAAAAACATGGCAATTGAAAGGCCCGTCTCCCCATGGAGAAACAGCGGATGAAATGGATGTAACAATGATCAAACCCGTCGCGATGCGTGCTGATATTCGGGTAAGTGTATGTCTTCTTCGTCGCAACCAGTATCGAGATGCACAGCAAGCAGAACTGCGTAATGCGCAAGCATAGTTGCCCCCGTTTGCCAAAGAAATAGCCCAACAATGGCAGCGAACAAAGCGAGTCAGGCATACTCATGCGTCTGCGCTACAACCATCCCCTGCCAATTACAAGCGATCGGTGAAACCGACAACATCCGCACGCATTCCGAATGTATCAACGTCGCGTGCGATCGGTTACAGTGCGCCGGGTCCATTGCGACATGTCGGTCAACAGCCTCCCTGGTGGCAAGGAAAGAGCGGAAGCATGCAAACGAATACATACAAACATGTCTGCACACATGTCACAATATCCCCGCAGGTGAATGAAGGGGCAAGAGCAGGACCAGAGTAAACCCAGGATGCGTCAACGATGCTGCAACACACGCTCACGCTCCCATCCCCCAAATCCCTCCTTCACAGGTCCCTGCAACAGTTTTCCTTTGGCTACAGGAAGCGCCCCCTTGAAGGACGAGCATCCTTTGGGGCTTCTATTCAAACGAGAGCCCAGTGTTGAAAGGAACTCCCTTGCATTCTTCTAGCCCAAGACAAGGAGCGCGAAACATTGAAATCATGTCATTGAACGAGGTGTTCAACAAACAACCCGTTTTGAAAAAGGGCCGTCCCACCATCCGTGTAACTGTTGCGCAGGATTGCAACTATGATCGCTCGATCTGTGGATGGCACCAGAGAAAGCTCGTTTCGAAGAGCAACCATCGCCCCTCCGCGCAGGTCTTGCATTCGTTAAAGCTTCTGGCTTTCAATGTAGAAGGCTCATGCGAGAGCCCACTTTGGAAACATCGCCGCCTTCCATGTTTGCGACTCTTGCAACCTTTCAAACAAGCGCGCGGCGCAGGGGTGAAAGCCACATTTTGAAAGCGAGCGGGCCTCCATCCTTTCAGCTGCTCTTCCAGCTGTTGCAAACTTTTGAAACTAATGTGCGCGGCGCTACGGCGAGAGCCTCATATTGAAAACCAGTGGCCTTCCATGCATGATGCGGTTGCGAGCCTTTGGCCCGAATGTGCGTGACACTGAGACGAAAACCGCATTTTGAAGCACCGCCGGCCCTACATTCCGGAAGTCTTCCATCGAACACAACGAACAATAAAAATCGATAAGTCCGCTGCCCCTTAGGAGGGCTTTTCCAATCGTGCGATTCTCTGACAAACGAACGCAACGAGACAAGTGCACCGCAAGTCGCAGCTGGGACCATGCCGAACGACCAACAAACTCACACCACGAAGAATGCTGTGGCGATGAGGCGAGAGCAGCATTTGGAAGATGACTGGCCCTCCATCCTTGAAGCTGCTGCGAGCTTGAAAGAGACATGTGCGCTCAGGGCGAGAGCCAACTTTTCAAAAGCGACCAGCCCTCCATCCTTGAAGCTCATGCAAAATTTTGAAGGAATGCGTGCGGCACTACGGCGAGAGCGGCATTTGAAAAACACTAGCCGTATTCATCCTTCAAGCTGATGGAAATTACTTAGCTTTAGGGTGATGGCTAATCTTGCTTGAGTCAGGTGAACCAGCCGGCCTGGCTAACGGTCACGTCTAGTCTTGCGACAGGGAGGCGTGAGCGACCGTAATGAGGAGGGGGGGAAGAGGAGCAAGAGGAGGAAGAGGAGGAGAAGAATATACCCAAAATGCATCAAAATTGCTGCAGTACAACCTCCCGTCACAAGTCCCCTCCTCAGGCGTCCTTGTAAGCTTTCCTCTTTACTGCAAGAAGCGCTCCATAAACAAACAGCGTCACATGGGCCTGCCATTTGGTGAGGGCCCCATGCTGAACAGAAAAACGCCTTGTATCCGTCTGGCGAAGAATCGGGAATGCGACAGGCCAGGGCCATGCAGGCCACAGGTTTTCTTCGAGCTCCATTTGAAAAGAGCCATTGTCGATCTGTGCGGTGCTACATGTCTTCAGGTTCTGGGTCTCACAAACTAGTGAAACCTTACGCGATAATCCCATTTTAAAAGGGGACGTCGTCTATGTTTCTAACTGATGCAGGCCTTATGCGACGAATGCTTGCGGACTTCAGGCGGAAACCCTATTTTGATGACGGCCTGCGCTCCATCCTTAAAACAATGGGAAGCTTTCCGGATGAACGTGCGCGGCGGTACTAGCGAGATCCCTACTTTGGAAAGGGCAAACCCTCTGTCTTTGAATTTCTTTCATACTTTGACAGCAGATGTGCACGGGGCTGAAGCGAAAACCACATTTTGAAAACGACCCCCTCAATCCTTGTAACTGCTGGACCATGTTAAAAAACATTGCGGGGCGCGCGGACGAGAGCCGCCTTTTCAAAACGAGCCACCCTCCATCCTTGAAGCCGTTGCAAGCATTCGAAGCGAATGTGCGCGGCGCTGAAGCGAGATCAGCATTTGGAAAAGTATGGGCCTTCCATCCCTCACTTTTGCAAACTTTAAGACGACTGTGCGCTGCGTTAAGGCGAGAACCATATTGTGAAAAAAACGGCCTACCTTCATCTGTGAATGTGTTCAACAAACAGCTGCACACTTTTGAAACGAATGTGTGCGGCGCTAAGGCGAGCCAACCCTTCCGTCCCTGAAGCTGCTGCGACATGTTAGAACAAACGTCGGCGCTCGGGGGATGAGACAGACCTCCTTCTCTTCCCCTCCCTCCTCTTCCAACCTCCCTCCTCTTCCTCCTTCCCCAGCGCACAGCTTCCCACATGTATCAAATGGAAAGGCCTGCTTCAAGTGCGTCTCCAACCACGTCTCGCGCGGCACCGGCAGCGGGTAGCCCGGGCGCGGCAGGCCTCTGCGTCTCTGGGTGGCCGCGGCTGGCTCCCGTCCCCTCACTGGTCCCTCCCTTCCCCTCCGCCCTGCGTTCTCTTCCCCGTCCACGTCCTCGACCTCCTCCCTCTGTCCGCCCTTCTCCCCCTACTCCTCTCCTCCCTGCCTCCCTCCCCGTCGTGTTCCTTCATCCCCGCCCCCTCCTCCTCCTCCTCCTTCTCCTCCTCCTCCTTCTTCTTTTCCTCATCCTCCTCCTCCTTCTCCTGCTCATAAGGAAAGCATAATATCTCACTCAGCCCACAGCATCGGCGGTACTCGTCACCACCGTTCTTTGTACGAGTTCTGCTTGAACTAAGTCGAGCATCGTTCTGCATGTTTGCTACACTGCAAGCGATCAAACGCTCATAAGGCTTAGGTTGCACTGCCGACCGCTTCCACGGTTTCACGTATGTTGGTAGCAGAGCGTCGTTCCGGGGGTACGTGCTGTGCTTCTTGAGCGAAACACTGGATGCTTATGCGGTGGTCAAGGACAGTGGATAGGGATACGTATGCCGTGTGCGCTCCCTATGGGGGAAGGCCAGAATTGGCGGCCGCCGCCAACTGGGATCATGCTAGACTCATGATGTTTGGGGGTTCGCCAGGAACGTAGCGATGCGAACCAAGGCCGCCCACCAACGGCGGAAAAGACCACTGGCGTAGAATGCATCCCTAAATTTGCCGAGGTGCTTGGAGCCTTCCCGCACTGCAGGATGCCCCCCCGGGTAGACGCGCGCATGCGACGGTGCCTCTCCTTTCCCTCCTCAGGTGGGAGGCGAGTTCGGGCCAAGTGCGAGCAGGCCCATGGCGTGCGTCAGCCCAGGCACACACATCCAAGGGGCTCCGCAGAGATACCTACGCTGCAGCTTGGCAGACAGGAGACGGTATTGGAGGAAAGCGTGAGGGTGAAGTTGGCGGGGGGGGGGCATGGATCAGAACACCCTCCCTGCCCGCAAATCGTCTCGCTCACTCCCACCCGCCCTCCCAACACATAAGTAAACAACCTGAGTCTCAGCATATCGTCTAGGAGCGCTAGGTATGCCATGTGCGCCACAAGTTGGCCTGCGCACTGCTGGCAATTTGCCGGCACCCCAGCCTTTCCTGTGACAAACACCATTCCAAAGTGGTCATGTGCCGCCCGCGCATGCTCCAGATTCGGAGGCAACATGCTTTTCTTTGTATGTGTGTGGGTTTTGTCGAGGATGGTTGGCCTGCGCGTAGCAAGCAACCTGCTGGCACCCCCGCCGCCCCTTTGAAAAACCAATGCAACATGGTCGTGGGGCGCCCGCGCTCCCTCCGGATTTGGAAGCACCGTTAAAAAACGGCAACACATTTTCGACTAGGATGGTTGGCCTGCGCGCAGCAAGCAACACGCTGGCACCCCGGCCGTCCCTGTGAAAAACCTATGCAAAATCGCCGCGGGCGCGCGAATGATCCGGATTTGGAGGTAAAGTGTACTTTCATGGCTTTTTGACGGAGATATTGTGTGTGTGTGTGCGCGCATGGGTCTGGGTTGATTGCAAGTCGGGTGGAGGGGGCATGTTTGTTACTAGGGAGCAGTGGTCCCTCAAGCGGGAACGACACAGGCTGTCTCGCTCACCCCCATCTGCCCGCGCATCACATAAGTAGCACCCGAGACTCAGTATAGGCGGTTACCGCCATCCGATGGGCAACCATTGGGAGCCAGTATAAGCGGCAGGTGCGCCACATTCGGGAGGTGCGCCACGTGTGCGAGGCGCCCCGCGCGCGCCAAGGGCCCAATAATGTTATACGCGCCTGGTGCGCCAGATGCACCACGTGCACAGAGTGTGTCATATGCTCGATGCTCGCCATGTTCACCACGTGCGCATCGCGTGAAGAGTGCTCCAGGCGCGGCCAAGCACGTGGCATCACACATAGGTCAGTTTGTTGCCGACACCGGCACTATCCTTGTTTGAAGCCGATGCAGAATGACGGCGGGGTGGTCAGCACGGTGTACGGCGTGTGCACCCGCGTTCACTTTGCATTGGCTTGTGAAAGGAATGGTGAGCCAGCGCGCAGCTGAGAATGTGCTCCCGCGCTCACCAGCCTGTCAGTCTCTGAGGCAAAATGATGCTTGGATGCCCGCGACTGGCCCACTCTTTTCTGCAATGTGCACTCTGCAATGCTTTTCCCAACCATGCCGAGGTGCTGGGTCCTCGTTTTGAATCTGCAGCGCCCCGCGTCCTTCACCTGCCTCCTCCTCCCCCGGCTCCTCCTTGCCTCCGGCCCATGCCTCTGTCCTCAGAATGGGCCCGTTTCGGCACACCGCTCACACGTTTTCGTGGCCCCTATTGGGAGCTCCACCGAAGGCTCCAATGACAAGGTTCGCATGCCGCCCCGCCCATTTGGGCACACTCCTCACACGGCCGAAACCTTGGTGGCAAGATTCGTATACC